ACTGCGTGTGTGCATGTTTCTGCCTCACTTCTTCCTGATTAAATCTGTTCGGGAAGGTCTGATCAAATGCTACATTATCACTAAGGCCCTCCCCAACCAGCCCATGTAAGTAGCATCCACCCCATTCTCTCCACACTTCCTGTTCTCTTCACCCTGCCTTATTCCTCTTTGTAGCATTTATTACCATCTGACATTTTATTTACTTTTCTTTCTTTCTTTTCTGTCTCCTCCGTTATAAAGAAAGCTTCTTGAGGGCAGGGACGTTCTGTTAGCTACTGTGTCTTCAGTGCCTAGATACCTTGTCTGTGATAGGTGCTCAGTAAGTGTTTGTTGAGTGAATGAATTTAGTAAGCCTTCTTCTTTATTTTCCCCGTTTATTCTTTTTTTAAAAAAACAGCTTTAGTGAGATATAGTTCGCATACCATATAATTCACCCTTTTAGAGTATACAGTTCAGTGGTTTTTAGTATGTTCACATACTGCAGTGATCACTACAATTTTAGGACATTTTTATCACCTTGAAAAGAAGCCCTGTACCCATTAGCTATCCCCCTTCTCTGAGCAAGCCCTAATCTCTATGGGCTTGCTTATTCTGGACACTTCACATCAATGGAATCATACAACATGTGACCTCTTGTGTCTGGCTTCTTTCATTTAGCATAATATTTTCAAGGTTCATCCAAATTGTAGCATTTATTAATACTTCCTTTTAATGGTTGAATAATATTCCATTGTATGAATTTTTAGTTTATTCCTTTTTTTCAATTGAAATATAATTGACATACAATATTATATTAATTTCAGTTGTACAACATAGTGATTTGACATTTATGTACATTATGAAATGATCACCACAAGTCGAGTAACCATCTGTCATCATACAAATTTATTGCAATATTATTGACTGTATTCCCTATGCTGTATGTTATATCCCTGTGACTTATTTATTTTATAACTGGAAGTTTGTATCTCTAAATCCCCTTCACCTATTTTGCCCATCCTCCACCCTTGGATTCCCAGTTTATTCTTAAAATGAACCTAAGAATTAGCATTTCCATTTTGAGGAATCCGAGGTGGAAAGAACTTGCGTGGGTCACAGAGTTAGTAAGTGGTAGAGCTCAGATGTGCATCTAGGTCTGTGTGGTCGGAGCCCTAACTGTAACGCTGTGCAGCTCTCTCTGTCCTTAATGCACAGTTTATGACAGCTCTTCGTCCTTGCATCTCTGTCTTCTTCACTGTTGTAAAACACTTTAGTTGGGGGCCAATATTTGTTGATAAGTCTCTTAAAAGTTCATTTTATTGTCAGTACCAGAACTCTACATTTAATATTGACTTAAGTTCCTGGGAGGATTGAATTAGCCTATAAAGGTCCACGATAATTTGACTTTGGAAATTACTCTTCTTACCACCAATCTTGTTGACATTTGGGATCCATGAGGGAAATTTTGCTGGATACTAGAGAGGATGAAGTGGATGCCATCTATGGTGGACTTCGTTTTTTGTGTGTTTTCCAAAACTTTTTATTTTGAAATAATTTCAAATTTACACAAATGTTGCAAGAATAGTACAAAGAACTTCTGTTTACTTTTCACCGAGATTTATCCATTAACATTGTATCACATTTGCCTTTTTTCTCTCTCTCTTTCTATACACACACACACACACACACAGTATATATAATTTTATTCTGAACTGTTTGAGAGTAAGTTGCAGACATGATGTCTTATAATCCCAAAATACTTCAGTGTGTATTTACTAAAAACAAGGACAATCACACACATAATCACAGTACCCTCATCAAAATCAGGAAATTTACATTATAACAGTACTATCATCAAATTCCTACTCCCCTTTCAAATTGTTTCTGTAATGTCCTTTATAGCAAAAGACAAAACAAACAACAACAAAAACCCTTCTTTTCCCTTTGCCTCCTTTCCCTCTGGTTCCTGATACGGTCCAGAAAGAATCATGCATTGTATTACTTGTGTCTTGTTACTGTTACTGGCCTGTAATCTGGAAAGTTCTTTGATTCCCTCCACCCCCTTCTTTCATGGTTTTGACATTTTTGAAGAGTACGTGCCAGTTAGTTTGTAGAATGTCACTCATTTTGGGTTTGTCTGATGCTCCTCGCAATTAGATTAGGTAATGTATTTTTGGCAGGAATATCACAGAAATGACAGTATGTTCTTCTCGGTGCATGATGTCAGGAGGAACGTGATGTCAGTTTAACCCATAGCTGGTGATGTTAACTGTTATCAGTTCGTTAAGATAGTATCTGTCAAATTCTTCTCTGTGAAGTTCATCAATATTTTTTACTTGTTAATTAACAAGTAATTAATAAGCATTTTCTGGGGAGGTACTTTGAGTTGCTATAAATATCCTGTCCCTCCTGAAAAGTTCACCCCCTAGTTTTTGCATCCATTGATGATTCATTTTTTTAAAAAATTATTTTATTGAGGTCACTATAACATTGTGTATGTTTCAGTTTCTATATAGACTGCATTGTGTTTACCACCAACAGTCCAGTTTTTATCCATCACCATCCGTTGATGATTCTTGCCTGAACTATTAATATGGTGGTTACCAAATGGTGATTTTCAAATTTTATTATTCCTTCTATATTTATTATATGTGATTCTTTGTGATTCTACTGTAATGAGCTTTCCTTTTCTCCCCAGGTATTTATTTATTTATTTATTTATGGTGAGGAAGATCAGCCCTGAACTAACATCCATTGCCAGTCCTCCTCTTTTTGCTCAGGAAGATTGGCCCTGAGCTAACATCTGTGCCCATCTTCCTCTGTTTTGTATACGGGATGCCACCACAGCATGGCTTGATGAGAGGTGCGTAGGACCGCACCGGGATCCGAACCTGCAAACCCCAGGCCGCTGAAGTGGAACATGTGAACTTAACCACTACGCCACCAGGCTGGCTCCCCATGTATTTTTTTTTTATTGTGGTTAAATATATATAACATAAAACTTAATCATTTAAACAATTTTTTTAAATAATTTTATTTATTTATTTTTTTCCCCCAAAGCCCCAGTAGATAGTTGTATGTCATAGCTGCACATCCTTCTAGTTGCTGTATGTGGGACGCGGCCTCAGCATGGCCGGAGAAGCGGTGCGTCCGTGCGTGCCCGGGATCCGAACCTGGGCCGCCAGCAGCAGAGCGTGTGCACTTAACCTCTAAGCCACGGGGCCGGCCCCAATTTTTAAGTGTACAATTCTGCGGCATTAAGTACATTCATATTGTTGTGCAACCATCACCACCATCCATCTCCAGACTATCTTCATCTTCCCAACTGAAACTCTGTACCCATTAAACAATAACTCCCCATTGCCTCCTCCCCTCAGCCCGTCACCCACCATTCTATTTTCTGTCTTTTTTAAATTTGACTACTCTAGGTACCTCGTATAAGTAGAATCATATAGTATTTGTCTGTTTGTGACTCGTGTATTTCACTTAGCATAGTGTCTTCAAGATTCATCCATGTTGTAGCATATGTCGGAATTTCCTTCCTTCCCTGTTTTTTTTTTTTTTTTGACGAAGATTGGCCCTGAGCTAACATCTGTTGCCAATCTTCCTCCTTTTTTCTTTTTTCTCCCCAAAGCCCAAGTAGATAGTTGCATGTCAGTTGTACATCCTTCTAGTTGCTCTGTGTGGGACACCGCCTCAGCATGGCTCGATGAGCAGTGTGTAGGTCCGTGCCCAGGATCCAAACACTGGGCCATCAAAGCAGAGCACGCAAACTCAACCTCTACACCACTGGGCCAGCCCTAGAATTTCCTTCCTTTTTAAGGATCAATAATGTTCCACTGATGTATGTAATCACATTTTGTTTATCCATTTATCGTTGATGGACACTTGGGTTGCTTCCACCTTTTTTGGCTATTGTGAATAATACTGCTATGAACATGGATGTGCACGTATCTGTTTGAGTCCCTACTTTCAGTTTTTTTGGGTATATACTCAGAAGGGGAATTTCTGGATCATATGGTAATTCTGTGTTTAATTTTTTGAGGAACTTCTGTTTTTAAAAATTAATATCTGTATGGACTCTTGGTTTCCTATTTTTTTTCAATGGGTTATAATCCGTTACTATCATTGTTTATTTTGAGGTACAAATTGTCCCTAATTTGGCCAGGAGGAGGCCCTTTAAGCTGGCTCCTGGATCCTTTTGACATGTTCTCATTAGAGCTCTTTTGTACTGTGACACAAGAAGATGTTCCAAGCTCATCTTACTGTTACTGCCCTAGCCCCCGAATCAGCTGTCCAAGGAGAACAGTTCCTTTTATTGGAGAACAGTATTTAGAAACCAAAATAAGGGTGCTGGTTATGCTGATTGCTGCTGGGGTGTCGTTGCTTCCAGGCCCTTTCAGAAGAGGGCGTGAGAAGATGTATATGTATGTGTGCATGTATACTTATACACACATACACAGAAATGTACGTTTATATTTCTCTATATATCTGTCTCCATGTGTATATTCAAAACTAGAGTTTGCATTGATACCTCCAGTTTCAGTCTAACACCACAGGGTTTATTCTGGATTCTCCCTTTCCATACTTGTATTTCCCTCATCAACAGTGAGAAACCTGGCTCCCATTATCCTCAGTATGCTTACTTATTTATTAAGTAGTTTATTTATTTATTTACTTACTTATTTGCTCTGTCCGACTTCATGTGCTCAATTTTCTAACCATATGGACTGTCTTTTTGGGCCTGGCCCCACCAGGTGCAATGGTTTAATACCCATACCCCTAGCCCCAGTCCCACAGACCGTGCCTCCAGCCCCACCTACTGTGCTCCCAGGATCCCAGGCCCCTGCCAAGAGGAAGGCATGGAGGGGAGGTGACCAAGGAGAAGAGGGAGAGGGGCAGGGGAGGTCTTGATTTGTATTGTTCTTACTCACTCATGGATGTTTTAGCTGTGAGGGTGTGGAAAGTAGTGCTGACAGTCGTCTGTTTTCACTGCTCTCTCTCTTTCTCTCTCTCTCAAGATGGTTTCATCCCAACATCACTGGCGTGGAGGCAGAAAACCTGCTGTTGACAAGAGGAGTTGATGGCAGTTTTTTGGCCAGGCCCAGTAAAAGTAACCCTGGAGACTTCACACTTTCCGTTAGGTAAGTTGGAAGTGAAAAAGAACCCTGCGAGTGTTTGCCAGGTAGGAAATGGTGAAACCACACTTGGACGACTGGTTCCCCTCATTGAGAGTTTGAAGGCCGGCCTGCTGCCCTGGGGTGAGGCCTGGCCCGCAGATCACACGTGATTCAAGCCTGCTTTTGGGGTTCAGGGCATGAGAGTGGGAGCCTGGGAAGTCAGCTGGAGGGATGTGATGGTGGGCATTTCTTCTCTTCTGAGAGACCCCTGAGGGTGAGTTGCAGCAGACCATGAGGGCTTAACAAGTTCCTAAGCCATCCACTGCTTGATCCTGGTTCCACTCATTCTGACCTGGTTCCCTGCCTTTTTCCTTTCCCTTCTGTTGATTTCTTAATGAGAAAAATACTTTTTAAGAGCTTCTTCAGATGGCTTTTCTTTTTCAAGAAATAAAACATCACTGAGGAAGTTGTGGTCCCGTTTGTTCCCGTGGCAGTCCCATCCCCTCCCTCTTTCCCCAAAGGAAACCGCCATCGAGAGGTTGGCATATATCCTTCCTGAGCATATTTTTATACTTGTACTGCATTTGTGCTATGTGTGAACAATATAAAGTTGCTTTGTGTGTTTTTAAAATTTACATAAATGTCTTTATAATATATCTATTATTCTGCAAGTACCTTTTAAAGTTTTTGAATTCTGCACTGGTACATATAGATCTAATTATTAATTTTAATGGCTATATAATATTTGAGTGGTGTGAATGTACCACATTTTATCCAGTCCCCTGTCGTTAGACATTTTTAGTTCTAAATTTTTTTGAACAGTATGTCCAACATCCTGTTACATATCCCTTTGGGCGGATGTGAGAGAGTTTTTCTAGTAATTGACTTTCTCTTATATACTTATTCTCCTTCCTCTACCTCATTTCAGGAGCTAGAACTGAATTGCTTTATGAATTTGCTTTTATTATTGTTATTTTTAAATAAAGAAGTAAGTAAAACATGTTCTTGAGGATTTATTTAGGATCCCCTTGGGACTTGGGAAGTCCCTTTTTGGCATTGATTAGTTTCTTGAGGAGCCACTGTCGTTGGCTTTTACTTCAGTCTTAGCACAAGGGGTGGATGGAAGCCTTGATGAAGTCTTCAGGGCTTGTCTCAGCATGGACTTCTAACTTACAGTTTTATGACGTTTGAGCTGTAAGAGTTTGGATGGAGATTATATGATGACGATGATGATGATGATAGTAAACATTATTGGGGACTTGACATATATACCAGGCCATCGTGCTAAGCGCTCTATACATATCATTTTATTTAATTTTCCCAACAACCTATGAATAAGTACTAGTGTTATCTTCATTTTACAGGTGAGTAAGCACAGAGGTTAAGTTAGTAAGCTAGTCTTATAGCCAGTAAGCAGCAGAGCCAGGACTACAGAACTGGTGGGTTTCTTTTTTTCTGTTTCCTCAACTTTTTATTTTGAGAAATTTCAGACCTATAGAAAAGTTGAAAGATGAGTGTAGTGAACACCCACATTCCCTTCACCTATTAACATTATGCCATATTTGCTCTTTTTGAGTGTGTGTATGTGTGTACGTGTATACTTTTTTTCCGCTGAACTTTTTGAAAATAAGTTGCAGGTATCAGGACATTATTTTTATTTTATTTTATTTTTTGGTGAGGAAGATTGGCCCCTGAGCTAACATCTATTGCCAGTATTCCTCTTTTTGCTGAGGAAGGTTAGCCCTGAGCTAACAGCTGTGCCTATCTTCCTCTATTTGTATGTGGGACGCCGCCACAGCATGGCTTGGTAAGTGGTGCGTAGGTCTGTGCCCGGGATCTGAACCCTTGAGCCCCGGGCCGCCGAAGCGGAGTGTGCGAACTTAACCACTACGCCACCAGGCTGGCCCCAGGGCACTTATTTTTATCTCTGAGTACTTCAGTGTGTATGTTCTATGAACAAGGACATTCTCCTGTATAATTACAATATCATTATTATATATAATAATTTTTAATATTGATTTAATAATATTGTCTAATATAGTGTCCATATTAAAATTTTCCTCATTATTTTAATAATGGCTTTTGAAGTAGTTGAAAACCCCAAACCCCCCAGACTAGATTCAGGAGCTAGTCAAGGATCACTCATTGCATTTAATTTTTATGTTTCTAGGCTCCTTTAATCTGGAACAGCCCACTCTCCTGACCTTTTTTTTTTTTCCTTCCCTCTTTTGGCTTTTCGGCATTGATATTTAGGCTAGTTATTTCATAGATTGTCCTCCAATCTGGATTTGCTGATGGTTTCCTCATTTTTAGATTCAGAGTAAACATTTTTGGCAAGCATGCTATGGAGATGATGTTAGATCCACTCCATTATTTCACGTCAGAAAGCACGTAATATCTATTTACCCCTTCTTTTGGTGGTATTCAGTTTAATCACTTGGTTGAAGTGTTTACCAGATTTTTCTGTTATAAAGGTGCCTTTTTCCTTTTGTAATTAATCAGTGGTCAGTGAGATGGTAGTTTGTGAGTATGTGAAGACTGCTTCCCCAACACATTTTCGTTTAATGTTTTTAGCATGCAGTGTTGAATTTTACCTGAATAAATTATTATATTGGCAATTGGAAAATTACTATTTTTCTAATTCTGTTATTTCTTCTACATTTATTAGTTGGCATTCTTCTAGAAAGAAGTGCTCCAATCCTCCACCTCTCCTTATTATTTTTGAGTATCACTATGGATTCATGGATCTTTCTTTTTTATCTAGTGCATTATAATTCATTGGCATCGTTATTATTATTTTTTTATTGTGAAATTTTTTTCTTTTTTTTTTAATTGTGAAATTTTTGTTGTACATTATTGTTTGTCAGTCACCATATAAATGCATCCCTCCACCCCTTGTGCCCACGCCCCCACCCCCCTTGCCCCTGGTAACCACCAAACAGTTCTATCTGTCCGTGTGTTGGTTTATCTTCCACATATGAGTGAAAATCATGCAGTGTTTGTCTTTCTCTTTCTGGCTTGTTTCACCATTATTATTATTATTATTTTTCGTGTTTGTGTGTGTGTGTGTGTGTGTGTGAGGAAGACCAGCCCTAAGCTAACATCCGATGCCAATCCTCTTCTTTTTTGCTGAGAAAGACTGGCTCTGGGCTAACATCTGTGCCCATCTTCCTCTACTTTATATGGGACGCCGCCACTGCATGGCTTAACAAGCGGTGTGTCGGTGTGCACCCAGGATCTGAACCGGCGAACCCCGGGCCGCCGCAGCGGAGTGCGTGCACTTAACTGCTTGCGCCACCAGGCTGGCCCCTCACCATTATTATTTTTGATGTTCAGTTTGCCCCAAATTTGGCCGGTGTGGCTCCTATATCCTTTTGACATTTCCCCAGTAATCTTTGAATACGTCCTTGCTTTGTGGCTCTATGAGATGTTTCAGGCCACTTTTATAGTTTTTTTCTCCAAACCTGGAATCACTCATTTCTCTCAGGAGCCCTGATTCCTTTAGTGGGGAATGGTATTTAGAAACCAAGATTTAGACGCTAGGTGTATTTATTGCTTCTAGGCCCTTACAGTAGACAAAACTGGGAAATAAATATTTATATATTTAAAACCAAGTGTTCTTACTGATAGTTCCAGTTCAACCGAACTTTCTCGCCTTTTCCCAGTCCACATTTGTATTTCCTTTCTCCTCTAGGGAGAAGTCTGGTTCCCGGCAGCATCAGTATATGACCTCATTTGGCCAATCCTATAATACAAAAATAGTTCCAGAGTTACTATACCACTGTCATTTCTAATTACAAACCCATTAAGTGAAGTTCATGATTTCTTTGGAGTCTTTTTGTTCTTAGACTATATCCCACTAAGGGTGTACAGTCAGTACTGTTCAAATGTACTGGGATTAATTTTCTGTGAAGTTATGAACTGGCTACAAAGTTAGATTCATTTCTTTCTGTTTGTATTCAGTTTTTTGGTTACGTATTCATCTTTTTTGATCCCTGTTGATTTAATTTTGTTTTTTAAATATGTGAAACATTTACAAGATTTAAGAATCAAACTATATAAATAGATATATTCTGAGAAATCTCCTTATCCGTACTCGTTGGCACCGTAATTCTATCCATCCCTATAGGTAACCACTTCCATTAATTTCTGGTCTATTTTTTTGTGTTTCTTTTTATACAGGAAGTAGAATACTAAATATACTTCTTTGTAGTTTAGTTTTTTCACTTACAGAAATCTTTTAGTGATCTCATCTTTTTAGTCAACTGCATAGCGTATAACTTTATACAGTTTCCTACAGATGGGAATTTAGTTGCTTCCAGTATTTTACAGTGATATATAATGCCGCAGAGATTATAATAACATTTTGCATATGTTTCATGCTTTTGGAAATCTATGCGCAGGATGAATTCCTGGCAGTGAGATAGGTGGGGCAGAGAGTAAATGTATATACAGTAGAGTTTTTCCAAATTCACCTTCGTGGTGATTGTATCGTTTTGCACTCCCACCAGTGTGTGAAGGTGCCTGTTTTGCCACAGCTTCCCAGTTGAATGCTGTCAGGCTTTTCCATTTTTGCCAACCTGATAGTTGAGAAATGGTGTCTCAGTGATTTTTTAATTTTCATTTTCTTATGATTGAAGCTGAACATCTTTTAATAAGTTTAAAGGCTATTTATATGTCTTTTTTGTGAACTGTCTTAGACCAGTGTTTTCAGCAACTCCTCAACACTGCCAAGTATCACGTTTTATATATTCCCTTATATATATTCATATATATATTGTAGACACTGTTATATGTGTGTGTGTGTGCACCTGTGTGTGTGTGTGTATGTGCATGCATGCATGTGTGATGAGTTTATTGTCCTGGTTCTCTGCAGGCAATCTAATCTTTTTTGTTATGTGCCCATGCTGAAAAATTGATGATTATGTTGCCTTATATTCAGTTTTGTTTTTTTTTTTAATTTTTTGTTTATTGCAGTAATATTGGTTTATAACATTGTATAAATTTCAGGTGTACATCATTGTACTTCTAT